CAACAAACAATTCACCGATTTTCGCAGTTAGCAGCTGACCTAATGGTCAGTCACGGGTGACTCTAGCGTCCATTACATGTCCAGAAAAGCGGTAAACAAAAGCGATCATTCTGGAAAAAGCACATAATCAGAGCATTAGCGATTTCGAAATGTTCCCCTTTATTGAGCTTCTTATTCCCCGATCTTTGCTGCCTTGACTTCACTGGCGAACTCAAGGAGGGGGAGGGGAAAGGGGAAGAGTTTTTCGCCGGGGGTCTCACTTCATTTTCTCTCCGCTGCGGTCGTTGCCGGGAGGAATCATGAGTGGGGGCGGGATGGGGAGGGAGTAAAGTAGTGGCGACGAACAGGGAAAAAAGCCGCTCCCCTCCCCTCCCCCTTGCACCTCTCCAGGAAATCATCTTGGATCCTATGTACGAGAAGTAGTGCAATGTTGATTTTATTTATGCAGTTTGAATTGTGGATCTGTGTTGTTGTTTTTGACTGATCCGAGTCGACTTTTTTGTGGGTTTAGATAGCCTTGGAACGACCTTTTTCTCGTGGATTTTTTTTTTTGGTTATTTTGGAGCTCGGAATCTCTTATTTGAGAATTTTTGGAAAATTTTTTAAAAAAATTCAGTCTTGCTTTATGCGGATTATGTGTGATTTATAATGAAAATTTCCAGGATTTGAACAGCCTTGGAAAGACCTTTCTCTCATGGGATATTTTTTTTTTGCTTTTGAAGCTCGGAATCTCCTAATTGAAAATTTTTAGAAAGTTTTATAAAAAAATTCAGTTCTGTCTTAGACAAATGCATTGTTTGACTCAAAATGAAAACTTTTAGGAAGTAGCCGAAGCGTACGATGTGCTATCGGATCCGAAGAAAAAAGAAATTTATGACAAATACGGTGAAGATGGCTTGAAAGGAGGTGGCGAGGGTGGCTTCGGTCCGGGCACTTACTACGAATTCCAGTAAGTTAATTTGATGCATAGCAATTACACTTTTTAACAAATAGGTTAAAAATCGCTCCTACGCGCACACATTGCTTGGTCTGTATTTACAGCTAAGGGATGAGACACAGACTAACTACATCTCAAAAATATCCTTCGGCGCATGACAATTAGGGGACCAATCCTTCCATCCTGCTATTTCCACCCGTATTTGACTTATTGTGTGAAGCAAAGGTATGCAAAAATACTGGGGGAATGGTAGAATTCACCAGCGGTAATCACCCGGTAACAGTAATTGCCAGTAGCTCCTTCTTTTGGTCAGTCCTCATGAGCAAGTTGTTAACCGTGGTTTTTTTGTTGATTGTAATCTGACCTACCAACGGCCGCAAAAAAAATTTTTTATCAGTTTAACCCACTTCGACCGCCCCACTTGGATCGTCCACTTCTGATTCGGTTCCTCCTAATGGCTGTTACTTATCATTTCTGACATTTGTCGGTACCAGTTTGCCTCTGGAACGAATGAACGAATCGTAGAGGGATTGATTGTTGCACGGGAAAAATCGATTTATTGATTCGGCGGGAAGGGGGGGGGGCTGATTATTCGAGAAGAGGCGGCTTAAATTTGTTGTTTTTTTGTTTATAAAAGCCAAAAATCTATTTCCTAATGTTTACTGGTACCGAAATATTTCTTACCATTATAATAATTCTATAATTTTTTTTATAAATTTTGTAATTCTCATCTCTTACCTTCCTTTTCTGATCCTTCGTATTTCATCCGTTGTTAATATATCTTTTTGTCTATTAAGAATTCTTAATACTTATGATTTGATAGCTTTTTGTTTAAAAAATGTGATTTTTAACTTGGATACCATTTTTTTTATTAATTTTCTTTTTTGTTTTATCTTATTTGTTTGACGAAAATCGGATTGTTGCTGATTTAACGTCTATTAGTCATCATTTTTGGGGTTTTTTTTTTTTGGAATTTTTAATTTTTTTTTCCTCTTTTAGGGGCGATCCGATGCGAATGTTCACGCAATTCTTTGGCGAAGATTCATTTGCATCATTCTTTGGTGGTGGCGCAGGGCCGCAACAAGTATTCTTTTCCACCGGTGGTGATGATATGTTTGGTGGTGAGTAATTTGGACTGATTGATTGATTTTTTTTTAAGAAAAAAGTTAGAATAACTCCTACTGGGACGTTTAGAGGCATCTTATGTCAGGATTTACTAAAATTCGAGAAAATAAACCAAAAATTGGAAAATATACGTTTGGAGCAGCAGTAGTAGTTGTTGTTGTTGTTGTTGTTGTACACCACAAAGTTTTGGTATGAGAAATTCAGATTTTAAAATTTGCAAAAAATTTCCGTTTCTTATTGACAGAAGTGCTGGAACTGTTTTTTGGCTTTCAGTTTCCCAGTGAAATTGAGGTTTTGGGTCAAGTATGTTGCAAAGGAATTTATTATTATTTTATTGCAAACAAAAAAAAAAAAACTTTTTTTGGTAAAATATAGTTTTTATGCGTTTTTTTGCACCTATGCAATGCAGAAAATGCATATTGATGAGGGGTTGTCTGTCTTTGTGTGTGTGAATGTATGTGTGTGTGTGTGTGTGTGTGTGTGTGTGTGTGTGTGTG